CAGTAAAATTTTCTCAAGAGTTGTCTATACTTATTCATTCCAGTCAGGATTCTCTGGGAGCTGCTTATTGAATTACTCCTCATTAAAATCCCTAGTACTCCTCTTAATCTTTCAGCAGCCTTGATACAGTTCAGAATCCTCCAGCTTTGGCAGACTAAACTATTTTATTTCCGGAGAAAGTGACCATCGCTAACATTCTTTCACAGGGAAAGTAACGTACAAGTTGATTTTGCTTAAATGGCTGTCGTCTTTCACTTGCAGCAGGCCACCATGAGTAAGTTGGCCTTCTCAAACATTTGTTTTATCCCAGGGTCTTATGAGGTACAGTTTTAATTTTCATGCTTCTCTACAGCATTTACATGTAAAAAAGTATCACTACTCTAAAAAATCCATTAAAATGTCGATCTTTTAAGAATAACTCTATGACAAAGAATTTTAAAAACATTTTTTGTGAAATTCAAAGTGTTCCCCATTTCAATTCACTTACTATTCCAAAATCTGTTATGAACAGTGTATATTGTTGCAGCAAAATATAAGAAAATGTATATTACCTGCTTTAGAAACAGGCAAATATACAATGATGATACAATGTGATACATAAGAGTTGATTTGTGACAAGTTATATCTAAATAAGAGGCCAAAAAATAGTTTGAGAAAACCATTTTTTATGTATAATTATAAAGTTTATTTAGCATAGTGTTTAGAAAAATACGTTCACATCATTTCAGAAAATAAATAAAACACTTAATTGGCCAGGCATTAACCCCCATTACAGTACAATGTACATACTTTAGATCTCTTTGGTTGGGTAACTAAGCACAGAAATGTTCGGGGACATGCTCTGTGTGCCATCACCTAACAGTGCAGTAAAGACTCTGTTACCCAACCCCATGATATACATTCTGTATAGAGTTTCTCTTTGTGTAAGGCACAGTAAAACCATATTGAGTATATTACTGGTTGCTTCTAAACATACAGTACATGCAACAAAAGAATAAATTTTTGCTGGGTGCAGTGGCTCAAGCCTGTAATCCCAGCACTTTGGGAGGCCAAGACAGGTGGATCACGAAGTCAAGAGATCGAGACCATCCTGGTCAACATGGTGAAACCCCGTCTCTACTAAAAATACAAAAATTAGCTGGGCATGGTGGTATGCGCCTGTAGTCCCAGCTACTTGGGAGGCTGAGGCAGGAGAATTGCTTGAACCCAGGAGGCAGAGGCTGCAGTGAGCCGAGATCGTGCCATTGCACTCCAGCCTACGTAACAAGAGCGAAACTCCATCTAAAAAAATAAATTTTTTTGAGAATCCTGAAAGCTGAAAGAGTGACATGCTATATAATTTTGATTCATAAAATGTATGGTGGTAAATTAACATGAAATGTATCAATTAGATACAAAGTAACTGCTAAACTCTATTATCTAAGTTTTACTCAGAGTTTAAAACATCTTTTGTGAAATGTAATTCTTTTCCCCATAGCTTCCTTGAATTATTTTTATTATGAGATGATCTGTCAAAACATTTTAGAGAATGAAGAACTTGTGGCTATGTTCTAATGCACTTGTCTAGCAGGTAGCAAGGCAGGCTGCCACACATGCCCAATAATCCAACTTTTAACATGCAAGATACCAGCCATATACAGAGTGAGTTAAGGTCAGTGTGCAATTTAACTATGGATTCTTACCTATGGCTATAATATCTACCTGCTTTTCATAACACTAGAAAGGCACTGAAACGTGTACGATTCAAGAAGTCTTTTCATTACTATAAATATACGTGCGATATAAAGCAGTACAACACAGGTGCTCTTGCTTGATTGAGGAACAATTGCACCTTCTCTTTAGACAATAGACTGTTCTTTACTAGATTTAACTAAGAGCTAAATGCCAAATTCTGGCTGATAGAGTGCATAGACAGGCTTACACCAAAAATCCCACAGCCAGCAGCATGGGTTGGGTTTTGCAGGGAGTTATTTCCCCCTATTTTGATCTTTAGGGATCATTAGAGGGTCATTTGCAGCATCTTCAAGCATTGGTTTATGTAAGAGGGAAATTCTGCCATATGAACACCAAGGGTTCTGTGTCTGGCCCCTGGTGTGGAAAAAGACATTTGCAGTTCTGTGCAAGGAGATCGCGGGGTTTACCTTACTCCATTCACATATACGTGGACTGCATACCAACTGGCCTTTATTTTATTGAAAGAATAGAAAAGAACAATAAGTTCTTTACAATACGCATTGATTCTTACCTGGTATATTGTATAGCTATCTGAAGTAATTGTAGGGTTATAATTACATCATGGTGGGTGTATGAATAGGTTTCCTAGGTAAGTCTTAAGTCTTGTGCTATCTTTTCTTTTTCATAAGGGAGAGAAGAAGAAGAACGTTGAACAAAATAGAGGCTTATTATATTTTGGGGAAACATATAAAACATTTCCAGTTATACATATGTAGCATATATAACTTTAAAAATCTTCCCATTTCTCTTATTGAATGAGTACTTGAAAATAATTAACAAACTCTTGATATCTGCAGCAATCAAGTGGAAAACACCATTTTCATGTAAACTACACTACAGAGCCATGTAATTAATCTCAGTAACAGGATCAGCACACACCCAAAGAAAAAAGAAGCTGTGTGAGCAGTAGTAGAATGGAAAAGAACCCTAAAACACCTGACTTGTAGAACAAAACAAAAACATGCAGTGTCAGCTGTTTAGGAACATTCACCAATTCTATAAAAAAATGATGTCATTCTTTATCAAAATGATGAGAGAGGAATTCTTCATATGGTTCTTCATATATACTGCAAATTCAATTTGTAATAACAAAAGTTAATCCCTTATTCAACATGCTTGGTTGATTGACATGTAAAGAACTAGAGTGGGCTCTTTGTTCTAATCATTAAAAAAAAAAAAAAAAAAAAGCAAGATGTGGGCCGGGCGCGGTGGCTCAAGCCTGTAATCCCAGCACTTTGGGAAGCCGAGGCGGGTGGATCACGAAGTCAAGAGATCGAGACCATCCTGGTCAACATGGTGAAGCCCCCATCTACTAAAAATATAAAAAAAATTAGCTGGGCATGGTGTCGTGTGCCTGTAATCCCAGCTACTCAGGAGGCTGAAGAAGGAGAATTGCCTGAACCCAGGAGGTGGAGGTTGCGGTGAGCAGAGATCGCGCCATTGCACTCCAGCCTGGGTAACAAGAGCGAAACTCCGTCTCAGGAAAAAAAAAAAAAAAAGTAAGATATGCTAACATTTTTACGTACAGCAACTTTATCTCTGAAGAAATTATTTTCTCACTTTTCTTGCTTTTCTAGAGACTAGACAGTAACTTTACTTACTACATAAATATATTCGTATTGTTACATCTGTGTTCAGAGTCCTGATAAAACTATAGCCACAGCTTACAACATTGTTAAACAAGCTTCTTAGAGAAACTCAAAATATTTACTTTTAAAGAAGACATGACAATATAGTGCAAACAACAGTCATGTGTCGGAGCGTAACAATTGATTCAAAACATTTAGAACTAAGTTTCAACAGCAAAGGATTTTGCTTAATAGAATTTACATATTTTCTTTACTTCGAAATGGTTTTCATAGTTGTATAATCGATTTTACATGGTATCTATAACTTTATTATTTTTCTTATAATGAAAAGTATCCACAATGATTAGTTGTTTATCCATTTGTGTAATAAATGTCATATATAATATTTAGTGAAACTTAAGTTCTTCAGATTTAAAGCAATTTTGTGGTGAAATTAACCTTGTTAGATAGAAAGTAGAAAAAAACCGTCAGTGCTTCTGTTGACACTTCTGTACCTTGCTACTAATAAAAGGCCACAAGGTAAAAAGGCACATAGAATTCCATAGAAAACATATTTAAATGAATTGGAGAGTTGCTAAAAAAAAAAAAGAAAAAGAACAAGTATGTGAAAAAAAGTAGCAAAATTCCAATATTGGGAGTTAGATTTCCTGTTTCAGTGTTATTAATATTGACCTTAATAGATTCCTGGTAAAAATCATTATTTAAAAAATCCTACAAAAAGTATAACTTTTTTGGAAACAACTATGTTCCTTTCCTGTTCAAACAATAAAAATAAACAGTAAGAAAACATTTCTTTTTCAGTTCATAGCGCCTGAAGAGAAACATATACAGTATAAATGAAATTCACCGTAATTACTCAAATCCTGCTTACAGAACAGATATGTGTACATTCATACTGAAGTTGCAGAGTTTTTAGTGGAGTTCCGAACTTTCTCAGCCACACGGAGCTATTAGAAACCACATTTGGAAATGTGCTGAGACAACCGAAGACTTTCTTAAACAATGCTGAAAATGAGAGGTGTGTGTGTGTATATATATATGTATGCTACCTAACTTTAAAAATACATACCATTTGGCCGGGCGCGGTGGCTCAAGCCTGTAATCCCAGCACTTTGGGAGGCCGAGGCGGGTGGATCACGAGGTCAAGAGATCGAGACCATCCTGGTCAACATGGTGAAACCCCGTCTCTACTAAAAATACAGAAATTAGCTGGGCATGGTGGCGCGCGCCTGTAGTCCCAGCTACTCGGGAGGCTGAGACAGGAGAATTGCTTGAACCCAGGAGGCGGAGGTTGCGGTGAGCCGGGATCGCGCCATTGCACTCCAGTCTGGGTTACAAGGGTGAAACTCCGTCTCAAAAAAAAAAAAAAAATACATACCATTTATGTTTCTTAACCTTTTCAATGCCTGTGAAGTAAAAGTAAACAAAAACTATTGTATTATTTCTAATGGTCTGCAGCTATCTTTAATTTTCTATGTTAGGCGTACACATTTTTAATTTTAAAAACTATCAAGTTCCATTTTGACCTTAGAGTTACATTGAGTCAACTAAATGATTCACTTTGACTTGACACATTTCACCTTGTTCCTTTGTTAACATCTATTTAAAAGAGAACATTATAAGTGAACAAAAAGGCTGCAATAATGCAGTTCTACGTCTGTGTGATCTTCATGCAGATCACTCTAAAGTCTCTCGTATGCATATACTTGCGAAACTAGAGTGTTTTCCTCTAAATGGGAAAATGTGTTGTGTCCTCGAGGCTTCATGAAAAAATTTGCCGCTGATGCCAAAAAAGAGGTGAGGAGGAAATAAAGTTTCTAAGTCTTGCATGTCTTCATCAACTGGACAGTCTGGAGCTTGGCAGGTGCTATTTTGTCTGTTTCCAGGTCTCCACAGACAGTATCAACCGTGCCCTCTAGGACAGTCTTGGATTTAGACTCTAGCATCATTAAGCTACTTGCTGCTTTGCTCTCAGAATTTGTTGAGAAATTCTCTTTCATGTTAGCTACCAATTGCAGAACCAAACGATGTTCTCGGAAAAATCCTGATATACTGCTGGGGAGGGGTGACCTACCTGGTCTTCAGCTGTAGGAACTATTTCCCCAAGGGCAGCCTGAGTCATAGGGACTGACATTAGGTCTTGACCAGTAATAAGGGAGCAGTTCTGAAGAGTTGCATAGTGTTGCTGACAGATGTCACAGTAGATTTGCTTGCCCCCAGTGCAGACGTTGGCTGGCTATCAGCAATGTCAGGGTTTAGCTCAGTGGGATTTAGTAGTGCAGGGGGACTGAGGGAAAAACTGTGAGTTGGAGATACATTAACTAACGAGGAGGCCAGTGGATGGAGGCCACTCCCCGAGATGTTTTCAGAAGATAGGTTTGCATTTACTTGTGCATTCTGATTGATAGGCATCAACTGAGAAAATACCAGGCTCCTCTCCAAGCCTTCCTGTTTCACAGATCCTATAGTCTGGCCTGAATTAGGAACCGTGTATACCACTGCACTGGGAGCAAGAGAGCTCAAGAAAACCTTTCCTTGCTGGATTGTGGCCGACTCACTTGTAAATGTGCTCCCATCTGAAATGCTTGAACTTACTGAAATATTACCTTGTGAAGCTGCCACTGACAAAGGGAGCAGCTGCAGTGAAGAGAATCCAATGTTCCCATTAAGGAACTGGCTGTTTGCTCCAGAATTGGGGACCTGGACAATCCCATACTGGTTAATTTGCACTGGTGTAGTAAAAGTCACTACAGAGCCCCCATCCTGGGAAGCCACAGTTTGAATGCCTTCTCTTTTCACCTCAGTGCTGGGTATCAGCCCTGGGAGTAAGACAGGGACACTGGGGCTGTAAGATGTGGTGGCTGCTGAGTTAGCAGCAGAACTCTGGAGCACTTTGAATTCCTTCACATCCTGGGAGGTAGACCCCAGTATGTCAGTCATGGATATACCATTGCTCACAGTTTGATGACATTTTTGGTGGGTTCAGTGCCACTGCCTGTGTATTTCCCACATTTAATCCATTAAGGATAACTACACTGGGTCCCTGAATAAAAGAATTTCCATTAAGGAAGACAGGTGAAGTCCTTGTGGGTACCAAGCTGCCATTCTACAGAACTCCGGAAGAGCTTAATGATATCTTAGCATTTCCAATTTGTTGCATATGTACTGGCTCCATATGACCAGAAAGGCTGAGGTTGGTGATGCCATCCGATGAACTGGGGAGTGGGTGAGGAGATAAATCTTCATGTCCCTTGCTGGATTTATCTTCAGTGCTGGGGTTACCATCTGACTTACAGGGGTGCAGGTGAGAGGTAGATCCAGAGAGGGGCCTAAACCAGGCACCTGGGCTGGGGGCAGGGTGTGGAGTTTATCAGGGTTGGGGGGGACAGAGAAGAGAAAACCATTTTTTTACAGTACAGAATGTAAGCACAAAGATTAGGCATGAGGCATCTAGATGTTTCCTAGGAACTCAAAAAATTGTGTAAAACTCATGAAAGCAAATACTGCGAAACCAATGCTATCCTAAACTTGAATACCATGCTCAAAGGCTGCTGCTCACTGCCCACAAGTCATGTATAGTTCAAAAATCAGAACATGCATGTTCTGATTATTTGCGATTGTTTGAAAATAAAGTAATTTTGAAGGCTTTATACAGTTTTAACCTTGTATCTAATCCTAATAGAAAAATTTATATTTTAAGAAAAAAATTGAAATTACAGTTTTATAAAATAAACACATGCATAATCACGTCACTACTATATAACCTACATTAATTTGCAAAGAGAGTAAAACTTTCTACTGGAGATTATGATGTTGGGAGTTTATCCTCAGCCTCTAAAACACACACATACAAAAGTAAAATAATTATTTATTGAAAAATAACAATAGGTAACTCTCCTAGTTAAGAATAAGCATCTTAAAGAAGGGGAGGGGGGAATCTTTCTGAGAGCAGTTATTAAGCAATTCCTCTTTAGCCAAACTTCAAAATACGTCTACGTTTCTGGAATATAAAAAATTTTTATTTTGAACATAGTTGGTGGAAGGCAACTTTGAAACAGAAAACATCTAATGAAAGTTGCCTCAAACTTAGGAAAGGTCTGATCTGTAGCCCCGATAACAAGCAGCCACACAGAAGTCGTTTTAAATCTAGACACATAATCAATGACCACTAGCCTGTTTCCCCAACCAATCAATGTCAGCTGCTTGCTTCTGAAAGATAGCCGGTCTGAGACAAACCTGCTTTAATCAGCATGCCTGGGAATGCCAACATTTCCACAACTGTTGTCCTCCGATACCTACACTGCAGCAGGCAGGTGGTGTCAAGCCACTCACCTGTGAGAGACGGCCAAGCTTTTACCTTCCCTCTTCCCCCAAACAATGTAAAAGATCAGTAGCTGCTTAATCAGAAGAGACTATGCCTCGCGAGAAGAGCTTTCTTTCTTACTATGAAAAGCAATAAATTCAAACTTTGTCTTTTCATATCAGATATTAAAGGCTCATGACCTTTTGAAAAAACATTTACATTTATTGCATTTACCACCCTATATTTTATTATTCCTAATAAAAATAAGTAAAGTTTGCAACTCCTTTGACTCATCTTACCAGGAGAAGTCTGTGGGGGGAAATTATGGGAGTGAGGCTTATTATTTAATAGTACAACAGGGTAACTATAGTCAGTAACAATATAATTGTACATTTAAAAATACCAGACTATAATTGGATTCCTTGTAGCACATACACACACAAAAAATGATTGAGGGGATAGATACCCCATTCCCCGTGATGTAATTATTTTGCTTTGCATGCCTGTGTCAAAACATTTCTTGTGCCCCATAAGTATATGCACCTAAATCTACCCACAAACATGTTTTAAAAATTGTTAAAAGTAAATGAAAAGGAAATATGATTTTGTGAGTACAGAAAGTTTGATTTCAAAGACATCAGACCAAAGTGGCATAATTATGGATGATTTAATTTCCTTCTTGTTCATCTGTATTTTTCAATTATTTTATGATGATTATAAAGTTTTTTGTTTTTGTTTTTTGAGATGGACTCTCGTTCTGTCACTCAGGCTGGAGTGCAATGATGCAATCTCAACTTACTGCAACCTCCATCTCCTGGGTTCAAGCAATTCTCCCTGCCTCAGCCTCCTGAGTAGCTGGGATTACAGGTGGCCACCACCATGCCTGACCAATTCTTGTATTTTTAGTGAGATGGGGTTTTACTATGTTAGCCAGGCTGGTCTTGGACTCCTGACCTCAGGTGACCTGCCCGCCTTGGCCTCCCAAAGTGCTGGAATTACAGGTGTGAGCCACCACACGTGGCCAATTATATAGATTTTTAAAACTATATACATATGACATTTTTTAAAAATAGTGAAACCAAGATACTAAATAATAAATTCATAAAATTATAGAACTAAAGGAACCCCTGAACATTTCTAAATTATATGTTTACTATAATTTTGCTCATGCTTATATAATAAAAACCACAGAAAAAATAAAAATTTCCATGGCCATATTTTTTGCTCTATACCAGTACCATGCTGTTTTGGTGACTATAACCTTGTAGTATAGTCTAAAGTAGGGTAATATGATGCCACCAGGTTTGTTCGTTTTTGGCTGAGTATTGCTATGGCTACGTACCTATCACCCCCAGAGCCTAAGGGAGAAGGAGACAGCAATGGACAGAAACCTGAAAGAAGAATGATGTAGGGAAGATCTCCTTAAATAGGAGCAAGGCTCCTACTGAGGGATGCATCAGTCTCAGTGAAGGAGCCAAAGTCTCCTACCAGACATCAGTTTCCTTCTTTACTGTGTTCTTTGGCTAGAGAAGCAGAGGACTGGAAGCCTACAGTCCATCATCAGAGCAGGGAGGAAAGGAGGGAGAGCTCTTGAGGAGCCCATAGAAGATATTCCAGGCCACATGTAGACTGCAAAGGGGCCAGAGGAACAATGGCCCTGAGTGTGATGTGCATTGCATAGAGAAGGCAAAAACAGTGAAGAAAAATCACGAAAAATGTGTGTGGATCTGATTTATGAATCATTAGCCAGAAGCATTTGCAAATATTTTGTTGTTTTTTCTGGTTAAGTTAAACAAAAAAAAAACTATTGTACAAATGTTCAGAAGTACATGTCTTTTTATATAAACTGAAAAAAAAATACTATTGTACAAATGTTTAGAAGTACATCTCTCTGCACAAAAATTTCTAAGGTGAAATGCATTCACCATGCGATGTAAAATATAGAGGGTTAAATGATTTATTGTCCTTGGGGTATATACCTAGTAATGAGATTGCTGGGTCAAAGGGCAGTTCTGTCTTATATTCTTCGAGAAATCTCCAAATTTTTTTTTTTTGAGGCAGAGTTTCACTGTTGTTACCCAGACTGGAGTGCAATGGCACAATCTCGGCTCACCGCAACCCCTGCCTTCTGGGTTCAAGCAATTCTCCTGCCTCAGCCTCCCGTGTAGCTGGGACTACAGGCACGCACCCCATGCCCAGCTAATTTTTGTATTTTTAGTAGAGTTGGGGTTTCACCTTGTTGACCAGGATGGTCTCAATCTCTTGACCTCGTGATCCACTCAGCCTCCCAAAGTTCTGGGATTATAGGCGTGAGCCACCCTGCCCGGCCTCCAAATTGTTTTTACAGGGACTGGAATAATTTACGTTTTTACCAACAGGGCATTAGCTATCCTGTTTCTCCACCACCTTGCCAGCTTCTGTTATTTTATGACTTTGCAATAACAGCCCTTTGACAATTGTGAGATGTGTGAGATGGTATCTCACTGTGGTTTTGATTTGCATTTATCTGATGATCAGTGATGCTGAGCATGTTTTAATGTTTCATGGCCACTTGTATGTCTTCTTTCAAGAAATACCTGTTCATGTCCTTTGCCCACTTTCTATTGGGGTTATTTGCTTTTGCTTGTGGAGTCAAGTTACTTACAGAGTCTGGATATTAGACCTTTGTTAGATGCATGGTTTGTAACAAATCTACACATGTAAGCCCTAGACTAAAATAGAAGTTGAAATTATTTTTAAAAATAGAGAGTAAAAATCCCAGCACTTTGGGAGGCTGAGGCAGGTGGATCATGAGGTCAAGAGATCGAGACCATCTTGGCCAACATGGTGAAACCCCGTCTATTCTAAAAATACAAGAAAATTTGCTGGGTGTGGTGGTGCACGCCTGTAGTCCCAGCTTCTAGGGAGGTTGAAGCAGGAGAATTGCTTGAACCCGGGAGGTGGAGATTGCAGTGAGCCGAGGTCGCACCACTGGACTCCAGCCTGGTGCCTGGTGATGGAGTGAGACTCTGTCTCAAAAAAAAAAAAAAATAGAGAGTAAATACTGATAATGTAATGCTCAATACTTACCAAATACTTCTTATATTCGATAAGCACTTTCTTACTCAATCCTCATGCAACTCGAGGAGGTAAGTACTTTGATTTTTCCCTATTTTGCAAGTAAATTGTCTGAGCACAGTTGTGACACTTGACCAACATCAGTGGCAGACTGGGGTCTGACAGCAGCCTGTATAACCTGGGACCTGAGCTGCTGGACTCTGTCGAGTCTCACCTTGGAGCCGGCCTTTCTAGCTCTGTGGCCAGAGGGCTCTGGCCCAGCCATCTTACAAGTTGTGCAAAAGCCTGTAGTGAATCACTCATCTTTCTCATGATCAAGCACTTTCAGAAAGCATCAAAGGCAGGCTCCAGGGAAAAAATCACTTTAAAGTCCATGAAGCATAACTGCTTTGAGATTGTGGTGAATTATATGAGGCCACCTCATGACACTCTTCCCGATCGTCCCTCCAGTGGAGAGGGCCTTCCATAGTGCTGAATTTTCTGAGACGGTCTCTCCCCATTCTCTCCAATAAACTGGGTCTATTCCATAGAGCACTTAAGTTAATAGTACCTGATGACACTCTCTGAGGCTTTCAATGAAATAAAAATGATTACAAACTAAGTGGGGCTGCCTGCACGCTTACAGGGAATCTACATACACACTTGACTGGGCTGTTACCAGTTGTTAGAATTTATTCATGCATCATGGCAGGAATGAATACAGGAAGAGAAAATATCGGGGAATGAAATGGGTTGAGATGCAGATGAACGGTGAGCATGGATGTGGGGTCCTGCGTTCTTTTTGCTCCCACCCACAGCCCAGAGCCCTCTCCTCCCTCCCACCTATTCCCAGGAACGCCGCTGAAACATTGTCTTTTTGACAGTTAATTGAAGGCTGGCTTTATTGGCAGCACCATCCACGAAATTAAGCAGGGAGCTGAAAGATGGAGGTAAGAAGCCTGCCATCTGGATTTCCTCCAAGGAGCGTTTGATTCTTATTCTCCTGTCAGATGGGCAAATCTACTTTGAAATGTCTGGGAACCGTAACCATTTTGCTGTTCACTGCTGAAGGCACTGAAACACTGGCGAGCATTCCAAGAGACAGCCGGATGGAACAAAACATGCCTCTGACCAGGAACGGAGGGCTGTGGAGTCCAGCCACACCCCTGCTCCAGAAGCCTGTGACCAGGGCCAGCCACTTGCTGTCAGACCTCAATTTCCTTGTCTGAGAAATGGAGATGACTGAAGCTGCCCTGCTTTCCCATTTTACAGGCTGTTCTGCTGACTGAGTGAGGTAATGAGAGAGAGAAACTGCTTTGAAAAATACAAAGTGAAACACAAGCCTTTAGCCCTACTACCCAACCCTGATTTCAGAGTTATTTTGACCAAGAGGAGTGGAGGAGTGAGGGAGTAGCTGGACTCTATCCTGCCTGCCTGCCTTCTGAAATGTCCCAGCTGAGACACTGATCTCGCCAAGCCTCAGATCTGTCGGCAATAAGAGCAGGTATTGAACATCAGTGAGCCTGTTTCAAACAGACTTGTTTTCAGAATGTAGTAACGATAATAAGGGCTAACTTCTATTAGCATACGTGCGATATACAAGATTAAAAAGTGTAAATCAATCGTATCAAAACACTCCCTTTTGTTCTATGATAGCTTCCAGCTTTCATACCATGCCTTTCCCTACACTGACATAAATGATTACAAAATATTTAGAAAATAGTTTTTTCTATTACTTACATGGTTTTGTGCATTTAATTCATTAAACCATCTAGAGAATATTTTTGTTCATGGTGTTGGGTATATAATCTAATTGCTCTAATTTAACTTTTCCAAAGTGGATAAATACGGTCATGTGAATTTACTCTTTTTTCCACCAATTCGAAATGTCATTTCTGTCACACTCTGAATTCCCCGCAGATCTGTTTCTGGATTCCTAATTGTATTCAGCTGATCTCTTTGATTGATTTCAGTGTCAATACTATGCCGTTGAAATTACCATAACGGTAATACACTGGACAAGGTATTTGTCATTATTCTTTTCTTCCCTGTGGAATGCTGCCATGTTTTCTTTTCCAGAGGAACGATAGCATTTGTCTCCTTCCTGGAACATATACCGATATCTCACATGCCATGAGCTGTCATTGTTCATAAAGTTGGCTTGGGTCCTGCCATCTGTAGGCTCACAATAGGTTGTTTCTTCTTTGCATGTTTCCACAAGGGAATAAAGGTAGCTTCATAACTGCTTGCTGGATGGAAAGTGCTCTCTGTGACAGCCAGGAGCCCGTGCCTTTTCTAAAGAGGAGATTCCATTTCTGGTGACATTGGCCTGCCCTGTGCTGGATTTTTACTGGCTTCCTCTTTAGAATCCAGCCCTCTTTATGCTGCCACACTGCCTGCCTGCCCTCATCTCTCAGGGTAGGAGTGGTGGACCTAGATTTCAATCCAATTATGCTGGCCCCAATATTTGGAATCAAAACAATTCCCTGCACCTTGCTGTACACCTTCGTTTCCTCATATGCCTGCTGTTTCTGGCTTTGGGTAATACAAAGTAGCCCAGCATTGGGCTGGTAACAGGTGCTTGTAGTTTCCATTTACTGCATTATTTTTTTAAAAATTTACTTATTATACTTAAGTTCTGGAGTACATGTGCAGAACGTGCAGGTTTGTTACATAGGTATACACGTGCCATGGTGGTGTGCTGTATCCATCACCCCATCATCTACATTAGGCATTTCTCCTAATGCTAACCTTCCCCAATCCCCCCACCTGTTATTCCTCCCCTAGCCCTCTACCCCCAATAGGCCTGGGTGTGTGATGTTCCCCTCCCTGTGTCCATGTGTTCTCATTGTTCAACACCCATTTATGAGTGAGAACATGCGGTGTTTGGTTTTCTGTTCTCGTGTCAGCTTGCTGAGAATGATAGTTTCCAGCTTTATCCATGTCCTTGCAAAGGACATGAACTCATCCTTTTTTATGGCTGCATAATATTCCATGGTGTATATGTGCCACATTTTATTTATCTAGTCTATCATTCATGGGCATTTGGGTTGGTTCCAAGTCTTTGCTATTTTGAACAGTGCCACAATAAACATACATGTGTATGTGTCTTTATAACAGAATGATTTATAATCCTTTGGGTATATGCCCAGTAATGGGATTGCTGGGTCAAATGGTATTTCTAGTTCTAGATCCTTGAGGAATAGCCACACTGTCTTCTACAATGGTTGAACTAATTTACACTCCCACCAACAGTATAAAAGCATTCCTATTTCTCTACATCTTCTCCAGCATCTGTTGTCTCCTGATTTTTTAATGATCACCATTCTTTTTTTTTTTTGACAGAGTCTTGCTCTGTTGCCAGGCACCAGGCTGGAGTGCAGTAGCACAATCTCAACTCACTGCAATCTCCGCCTCCTGGGTTCAAGCAATTCTCCTGCCTCAGCCTCCCCAGTAGCTGGGACTACAGGCACATGCCACCACACCCAGCTAATTTTTGTATTTTGTTGGTAGAGACAGGGTTTCACCATGTTGACCAGGATGGTCTCGATCTCTTGACCTTGTGATCTGCCTGCCTCAGCTTCCCAAAGTGCTGGGATTAAAGGCGTAAACCACCACTCCCGGCCTTAATGATCGTCATTTAACTGGCGTGAGATGGTATCTCAGTGTGATACGGAGAAAGATGCAATGGGGTCAGATCGTGCAAAAGTGGCAACAGGACTTTTCCTGGATTTGATTCTTTACTCTCTGCCTGCTTTGCAGATTGGTTGTGCCTCAGAGTCCTCATTTGTAAATGGGGATCATAGAGCGAGCAACCACATGGGCATTCAGCACAGGGCTCCGCACATGGGAAGTGCTCATTAAAAGTGGTTACCGTTGTTAGAAAAGAGAGAGTCAGTGGGGTGTGCCAGGCTCAGGGTTTCGGACTCTATGAAGGCTGGCAGGGAGCTGAGGAGGTGGGGAAAAAGCAGGAAAGGCTTCAGCAGTGAAGCCCTGGAAACAGATCTTCCTCACAGCCCACCGTGCTTCCAGTGCCAGGGCTGGTGCCGGTTGTTTGACAGACTTCTCCCCCACAAACAAATTCCTATAAACCCACGTTAATCCAAACAGCACACTGATGGCTTCTGGGGCTTCAGCGGCTGACTGGGGGCAAAGTGCTGAGATGCTTGGGTGATGACGGATCCATCTCTCGGAAAGACTTTTCTGGAGGAGATCAAGGAAAGAAGCGGTAAAGCTGAATAAGCTATGATGGGCTGGAGATAGGGCACAGGTGGCTGCCTCTCCCTGGTAGCCCTCTGCTCTTATGCAACATTCGCTAAGGTGCCTGGTGCAGGAGGCATGCAGAGATGAGGATTTCCAGTGAAATCCAATTTCAGGTTTTGCCCTGGCTTTAGGCTTTTCCCCCTACTTATTTATCTATGCTCTGTAATTTGTCTCTCACCACTGCAGAATACTTATGAATAAAAATCCTGTCAGTTCCTGTACTCAAGAGCTTAATTCTTTCAGCTCTGAAGGCAAAAGCACCTTTGGATTTTTTTCCCCGCTCTGGGCTCCTGAAGTGTTTTACTGCAACCTGGGTCTGTTCCAGGAGAGCAGACGCTGGTGGGTGTTGACATCATGATATTTTAAAAAGTGAGTAACATCTATTTGTCTTAACAATTTTATGAGTTAAGTACTATTATGAGGAAACTGAGGCACTGAGAGATAAAGAAACTTGTTCGAGGTCACACTGTAATGACTGAAGCTGAATGTGGGCCCAGGTGGCCTTGTCCAGGTTGTTCCACCATGGCAGATGCTGTCAGTGTGTCACCTGTACCTCCTGAGGGCTTTCTCTGACCGCTAAAGTGTCTGGGCAATGTACAGCATGGCCAAAAATTCTAGGGAGTCATAGTCCTGGAACATCCCTCAACAGGAGGTGGTAGACTGATACCCAGCCCTCTTGGCCTCCTAGGTTGGAGAGTTTCAAGGCATTTTCCATGTCCCCAGTGGGATTGAGCCCCTTTCTGCTGTGATAACCTGCTCACCGGCACACTTTTTCCCTTCTATTCCTCCATTTCCCTTCTTCCCTACAGGTACTTTCTAGGGTCCCCTTTCAGGAAAACAACGTGCACAAAAATCCTTGTCTCAGAATCTGCTTCTAGGGAAACCCAGCCTAAGACATACACTGGCCCAGTCTTTTCTATCTCTGGCTTATATAGTTTTAATATTTCATGTTGAACTGGCCTCCAGCCTGCCAACTGCCCATGTGAGGCCATCCTAAACCATCGAGCTATTATGGACCCACTGCCAATGAGATTGTCCAGCAGAGATAAGCCATCCTAATCTGGACCAGAACCACCCAGCTGACCACAGAGTCCTAAGAAATAATAAAGCCATGTTGCTTTAAGCCAGTAAGTTTGAGACCACTTTGTTAGGCAGCAAAAGCTGACATATAAGTCAGCCAGCATCTCACGTGTCTCAAACCAGGGCATCTCACGTGACAGGGGCCAGATGACCCCAGGGAGTGAGTCTCCTGCTTGTTTCATCCACAGGCCTGACTGGCTTAGTTCAGCCAGGCGCCTTCCTGGACTCCTGAGAGGTGCACAGGCTACCAACAACAGGAAGAAAAGTGAATTTGGATTTTATTTATGACCGGCATCAGCTTCACGTCAGAACATAAATAATTCCTCCCAAATACTGAAGCACACAATCCATCTGCAGCGATCAAGGAGAGTGTGACCTATGCTGAGAAGACTTGTATATACAATCTGGCTTCCCCTAGAGCATTTCGTATATTCAGAGAGCTAATTGTTCCACTGAGGTTTCTTTTGATTTCATTATATTTGAAAACAACCAGGGAGAGCAAAGAAATTGGCTGGGTCTGAAGCCAAGCGGAATGGTGCATAGGCCTGTCAGCGGGATGAGGGAGACAGGCCCTTCCTTCATCCTTCTTGGGTCATCTGCCTCGGGAAAACTCACTCCCAGAGAAAGCAAGTGCTCCAGAAATGTGCCTGCTTGGTCAACACAGTCATGGAAAGGGTGCATGGGGCTGACTTTGTAGATGCATTTCTACTCAGAGCGAAAGAAAACATTTTGAAAATGGAGCAAATGCCTCTATGCTTGGCACGAGTGCAAGAACATTTCCAGAAATTCTGGGTCTCGTACTAGGCACAGCTGAGAGAAACAGAACATAGCTGCCCTGTTAGGTGGGAAATGGGGTTGCCCTGCCTCCTGTGTCTGTTTCCGCCACGTCAGGGTGTTAGGTCCATTCGCTAGCGCACGGCCCCTGAGAGCAAAGAGTTTCACTTGTGCCTCAAAGGGAACAATCCAATTCCATTTCCAAATGTTGACCAGCAACAAAGTTATCATTGGAAACTTGTCACTAAGCATGGTGGTTCATGTGGTCTTTCTGTTGATATAACCAGTTACCAATTCACACCACCAGTACCCAGTGTGATGTCTCACTTCTCGTTACTAATTTCTTCCATAGATTTAGCCTGCATTCATTCAGGCACAGCAGTAGCCACTCTGTGTTAGGTAATGCGGTTTGATTCATACTTCCAGGATTGTGAATCTCCTCCACATTTGGACTATTTGCACTGCATAACTCAATGTAAGCGCAACACCTACGTTTCTAATGCTGCCATGTTCATGAGACAGGTCTCAGCTTACAGTCTGGCCATCATTACTGTACCCATGCTGTGGCATCAGCTGCAGCAGTCAGATTCTCTTTAACAGGTAATGTCTGCCTGAATAATTGCCGTGGATTTGTTTTAACATGCTCTCTGGAGAGGCTACACATTCTTATTCTGCACCGACATTCTATATATGTCTTGGTTGATTGGTTTTAGATTAGGCATCTAATGAAAATAAAATGTATTTGGAGAGCTGGGAAGCCACTGTCAGTTTATCAGGAGCGCTGCAGACATAAAAACGAAATTATTTGGTGGGATGCTCCTCCTTAATGGGAATGTCATGCTACAGGCAGCTCCTTGGGATGATGAAAGGAGCTGGGTGTAAAATGTAAACACGCAATTAAGGAGGCCTAGCTGTTTGGTGTGTTTATCTGCCGTGTAATTCTCCAAACTAATTAATTTTGTGCTAAAATGCATGAAATCTAGATAATTCAGGCCTGATTTGATTATCCATCTCTTAAAAAAGAAAACATCTTGTGTCAAATCTTTCTCCGCTGGCAAGCAGGTTGCTTCTGGGTGCTGGGTTATTTTAGTGTTTGATCTCAGAATAAATTGATGGGGGAGGAAGGGCTGCATGCTAGCAAAATGTTTGTGAAAATCTCTTTGTGTTATTCTATTCCAATGTAGAATGAACACACTGACGCCTCTTGAGTGGTCAGAGAAGTCTTGTAAGTCCTAAGTTTGTAAGAAATAAAGGTGAGCTGTCTATTCTAACATTTCCCCTTCTGTATTCTGAACTGCTGGTTGCGGGAGAGATGGGTAGGGAGGGTGGCTTCTCCGTGTGTCTCACGTCCAGCTCTTGGAGAGGTGTTTTTGCACATGAGCCCAACTTTATTTGAGAGTTGATGGTCTCTGAATGTTATGATTAATGACATTTAAGTGTTTTGTTTTGTTTTGCTGAGACAGGGTCTCACTCTGTTGCCCAGGCTGGAGTGCAGTGGAACAATCACGGTTCACTGCAGCCTTGAACTCCTGTGCTCAAGAGATCTTCCCACCTCAGTCTTTCAAGTGGCTTGGACTACAGGCATGCACCACCATGCCTGTCTAATTTATTATTATTATTATTTGTAGAGATGCCGGGGGGGCAGTGTCTCACTATATTACCCAGGCTGGTCTTGAACCCTGGGCTCAAGGGATCTCCCTGCTTTGGCCTCCCAAAGTGCTGTGATTACAAGTATAAGCCACCTTGCCCAGCCCTAAATAATACTCTTAATCTTAAATCCCTTACTAATTGATGCTTAAAAATCTTCCATTTGCAATTCTAGTTTTTTTAAGTTTATTGCCTCATTCTAGGTTATGAATGCTCCCGAAAGGGTGGTGCAAACCTCTTTGATACTACATAGCTCCCTCTGACTCCTGACATTGATGGAATTTTGAAAGTTTTTTAGTGATTTTCCAGCTGGTCTGGAGTAAGCAGCTTGGAATAGAGGTTTACCATGAAAAATTACAATACAGTACATATTTCTCCATGGGGAAGCTGAGCCAGAGAAGCCTGATTCATGCAAGTTCATGTTTCACCTTTGTCATAATTGTTCTAATGACATGGTAACAAGAAGCAGATGGCCTTCCTTACAGGAGCCCTCTAGAAACCAGATGGTGTGAACATCTGAGACAGACAGTCTTGTTGGTAAGGGGGTAAAGGGAGCAGTAAATGACGGAAAAGCCACAGGCTCTGACCTATACTAGGTTTCAAGGCTTATCAAACTGAGATGCACACCTGGGGTGTCCATTTAGACAGAGATGATCATTGCACTGTCTGGTCAGTGGGGTCTCTCTGAAAATGATGCCTCCCAGGACGGAGGCAGAGACTTTCCTTTCAGCCTCATTCCCATGGTCTCCTATGTCACACGAGCAACACATCTGTTTCCTACTTCCTGGAAGAGAGTGTAGCAGAACTCATGGTCACTATGAAAGGTGTGGATGCCAGAAGTCATCCAGATATTTCAGACATCCAGATATTCATAGTTAAATATATTTGTAGCCAAAAAATGTTCAAGAGTTTAAATAGCAGGATGCATGAAATGGTTGTGATCAAATAATTTGTACAGTGACGTTTAAGCTTTGTCCACAAATAATATTCATTAAATATCAAATTGAACCTCTAATGTTGAATTCCTCTGGATTAAGTCCCGGCGTGTTTCTCTCCTCTCTTCTTCTTCATTCCTTTACCAGTTTCTCTCATTTGTCCCTGAGGCTTTCCATACCTGCTGGTAACCATTGACACCCATACAGCTAGGCTGGATGCCTCTTCTGAGAGACAAAAGTAAACCATATGTTTGATAAAGGGTTACTATTCAAAATATATCGGGAACACATACAACTCAATAGCAACCAACCAAACAAACAAATAATCCGATTTAAAAACGGGCAAATAACCTGAATAGACATTTTTCTAAGGAAGACATACAAGTGGCCAGCAGGTACAAGGGAAGGTACTCGTATCATCAACCATCAGGGAAATGCAAACCAAAAATCACGATGAAATATTACCTCACACCTGGTGAGATGGCTATTACCAAAGAGACAAAA